CTCGGAGAGCAGTGCGCTCCTCGTTCCGCACCTGCTCTTTGGCCGCCTCCACGTCCGCGGCCAATCGGCTCTGCAAAAGGCCGAGTGACTCCAGCGCCTCGTTGGCCTTAGATGTAGCGTCCTCGGCACGATTGTTCGCCCCGAGCACCTTCCCCTCCAGCTGCACGATTTGCGCCTCGTCGGCCTTCATCTTGGCACGCATCGAGGCGCGCTCTTGTTGAGCGCGAAAGGTCGCCGACAAACCCTACAACGCCACGAGTCTTAGCCAAGCAAAAAAGAAGGAGGGGAAGGTTAACAAAATAAACCTTAACCTAAACTGAGTCTTACCGCGAAATGGATCTGCGCCAGGTCGTGAAGAGGGTCCGTCTTTTCCACCCGCGGGGGAACGGAGAGAATGGGCCCGATCGCCCGAAGCGCATGATTGGCCGACACCAAGTTACACGCCGCTGCGGTGTGAATCCGCACGTCGCGGACTTGGTGGACGGCGACGGAGGGAGGTACAGCGCTGACGGGAGGAGCGGTAGCGGATGTCCCGGATGAGCTGCCAGCCCCATCCCCACCTCGACGAGCGGGCCGGCTCACCGTCGCCTCGGGCTCCGAAAGCGCCAGTGAGAGCTGTTGCGCGGCGGACAGCTGCGGCGTCGCGGGCAGTTGCTTCGCCACTTGGGCGGCTGGCTCCGCTATACGAATGGTCTTGCGGGGCCTCTCGACAACCTGCGGTTGCGGCTGCTCGACCTCCTTCCGCTTCGAGGGTCTTGGCGCCGCGCCGACCTTCTTCTTCCTTTTCTTGTCGGCACGCGGCGCGACGTCATCCACCGACATCATACTCGCGAGGGTGGAAAAGTCAACACCTGCGCCAATAAATCGTAAGAGGGCGGTTAATAAGATAGAATACAAAAGGAAGGAAACATAACTAACCATCTCCAAAGAGCTCTTCCAAACAGGCTTCGCGGACACCCCGCTTGTATAAGTTCATGCGGTGAGGCATGCAAGCCTCATACTCATCGTTGAGCCCGTCGTATTTACCGACGTCGGACTCGAACCCGGCTATACTGCCCTTCATCCAGGAGGTGGGCTCCGGCAGCGACCCACTCGCCCATTCCCCGGGAACGGGCTTAACATAGAAAAACTGGCCGAACCAAGTCTTCTTCAACTTGGGCGAGCCGTACACGAAGCCATCGGGGCGGTGGTCGCGTCGCTGGATGGAGAGACAGTCGCTCACCTTTGTGGGCTCCTTGATTTTGTACATCTTCCTGAATAGGCCGTAAGTAGGCACGATGTTAAGCCTTTTGCACGCGAGACGAAGGCAACTCGCGTGCATGATGACTGACGGGGAGAGCCGACCGATGGAGCACTTGAGGCGGTCGTATATGGCGCATAACAGCGGGTCGATGGGGAACTTGAACCCCATAACCCAATATTCTGCGTACACACCAAACCACCCAGGGGGGCAGTTACCCACCATACTGCGCACCGAGGGAGCGGCGTACTCCCAATTGGGGGGCAAGCCCAGTCCGCGAACCAACTCCTCCACGTCATCCACGTCATACGTCGAGGAGTGCTCGGGTCCACGCTTGAGATTATCAGACGGCGCCGGCTGGTCACCCCACATCTCGGCCCATTCGATCACGCGGTATGTAGAGCCAACACCTTGCGGCCCCAAGCGGGCCATGGCTTCGGTAACGCGCTCGACTGCTCGCGGTGCGAATTGCACACCAAAGTCTCCTTGCTCCGTCTCATCGCCGAAGTCTTCATCCTCGGCGACTTCATCATCGCCGACCTCACCATCGGCGATTTCCTCGTCGGCCGCTTCGTCGCCGGCAACCGGCCCACCACCCTGGTTACGCCGAATAATCAAAGTCCCCCGAGCCGGCCGCACCACCTCCCCACTCCCGGAAACGAGTATACCCGGATCAGAAGAGCTTCCGGCCCCATCGCCCGACCTAGCATCGAACGTCGGCGTCGCCGGAAGTCCACCACCACTACTGCCATCCCCACCGTCGGATCCACCGTTCCAATCCCCAGAACCTCCATTCCCACCACCGGAATGGTCAGAAGAAGTATGCGAGAGAGGAGAGACATTACCTTCTTCGCCTTGTACGACCTCGGCCTCCTGGTTGTTGATGTTGGACATGATATCGACTCGAAGTTGATCAACAGCAGAAGAGGATTAAGGTAGTAAAAGGAGGAGAGAAAATCTCAAAGAAAGAGAAGTGAAGGAAGAGGGAAATCTTAGGAAAACAAAGCGAGGCTATGATCGGAGAAAACAAGTGAGCCCTCCTCCCTTCAACAATCTCATATTTATAATTGATCAGGGGGAAAGCGAAGGGCCAAGGCCGGTCGGCGGAAGGCGAAAGGTTAAAGCCACATTGGGATCCGTAACCGTCAGATCCCACCAAATCTTTTCAAAATTCAAAAAATCCCCGCCCAAATAGCCTAACCACACAGTGACACGTGGACACCTACGATCATAGGCATTAGTCGGCGACGCCACCAGTGCCGCGCACCGACTGGGGGGCATGGCACACCCGCGAGGAAAAGAAAAACACGCATTGCGTCGCGACAAGAAAACAACCCCATGCGCGCATCGACGAGCATCGCGCGCGAGTATCGCGCTCAGCGAACAAAGATCAACCACGAGCGCTTGTCGCGAGGATAACGCCTGGAAAAGGAAAACACGCGTTGCGCTGCGAAAAGAAAACAACTCCACGAGCGCATCGCCGAATATCACGCTCAGCGAACAAAGATCAACAACGAGCGCATTAGCGCGTACCGCGCGCGAAGAGAACGACCCCGTACGCACAACAGCGCGCGCCAAGCATTGCGCGTGGCGACCGAATGAAGCCCAACAACGAACGCGATGGCGCATGACATCAGGGCAAGGCGACGCCAGTTCATAGTATCGCGCACGTCGGCGCCAACCAATAGCTACAAGCGGAGTGGGCCCAAAAGACCCGCCCCTCGAATAGCACGCCGGCCCGAGTCCGGAGGAAACCTAAACAGGGGGCGTTCACAAAACACCCCCTGATGGGGGGCAATTGTTGGGCATAGGACTCGGGCCTAATCACGCCAAGGAACCGGGCGCAACTGAATAAGACCCCAACACGGCGGCGCAAAGACCCCGAGTGTGCCGCCTCATCATGGCTAACCACGTCCCGGCGCGAAGAGATGACATGCGCTAGGGGAGGACAAGCGTAGGCCAAACCAGAAGATGAGGGAAGCGCACCTCTTCCAAGCGGGTAGTCACATCAGGGCTATGAGTGGATCTCTGACGCATCCTAGGTAGAGGAATGGCCTAAAAACCTTAGTGTGCTAGTGGTCACATCATTGGTCACACCATTGTATCCCAGTAGTCACATCACTGTATCTCTCCCTATGTCAACCACTCACCCACCACCATGAAGCCTATAAATATGGCATTTACTACGGTGGGTGAGGGGATCGCATTTTTCGCCATTCTCACTCTATAGTAACTACTTCTCTTTCTAAAGTTCCAAATCTCGTTCTCACTCAACTCTCTAATTCTTATCCCTCCGATCAAACCCGACGCTTGCGTTTCTTCTTGACCCAAACTCTCACTCGAACCTCACTCCTACACTCAGTTAGGTTCAAACACTTCCGTTACAAGAAACATTAATTAAATACTAACACATCTCCTAATCTAAGTAGAACAATTACTAATAATAATTCATATTAATATTCCCAAATAATTACTTAATACCAAGGTTGTCAACCCACGGGTTGACCCGGACCCGGTCGAGCTAGTGGGTCAAGGGTTAATGGGTCAGCCGTTTTAGCCCGGTTTGGCCCGGAAATATAGAAAGAGTCATTATATTGTACTTATCCTCATAAATTATATCAAATCTTATCTAACATATGAGTTATAACATATAATATTACACCAAAATAACATATCGTATTTAGATCCAACATATAGTGAAAATTCACACATACTTATATAACATAAATATTCAAATGTTCAACTTAGTATTTCAAAGATTGAGTTAGGCGAAAAGAAAAATTGGAAAAATGCGCATTTCGCAAACTAAAGAAAAAAATGACACAGTTTGACCTCCAACCCGGTACCTTATAGCGGTCGGCCTGGCGGGTGCGTGCGGCCCGTTTTTCTCACCGGGTCAGGATACCCGCGGGTTGACAACCTTACTTAATACAAACTAATAAGAAAAGATACACAAACTCAATAATTAATGAAATGTTACGATGGCTCGATCTCGTAATTCGTAAGAGCCTCGTATCGTGAAGCTTTCTTGAAACCCCATTATATTATATCGTGACTCGTGAGCGAAAAACACTTGCAAACGAGACATAATGAACAGACCATGCCGATTAGCTGGCGCATTTATACACGCTGAGTGGCTGGCGCATTTGCCTCTCGTCTTCCCTCCAATTATCGGGAACATTCCATTTCATTCAAAAAAAAAAAAAAAAAAACAATAAATAGTTCAAATTTCTTTTTCCCTGCAATCACCCGGCTTCCCGAATCCAATTAACGAATCGCCATGACGATGACGGACAGTGGCGATCTCACCATCAGCGGAGGAATCTCCTACCCAACCCCCGACGAGGATTTCCCGCTACCCGCCATTCCCACCAAGTTAAACAGAACAAACTACCACCTCTGGCACCGTCGCGTAACCGTAGCCCTCACAGCCGCCGGCCTAATCGGCTACGTCAACGGCGAAATCAAGAAACCCGCCGCCGCCACCACCGAACCCAAATCACCGCGACTGGGCAAGGTCCAACGCCACCGTCCTGCTGTGGCTCCTCCACACCCTCACCGACCCAATTGCCCAATCCTTCTACCGAGTCGAAACAGCGGCCGAGCTGTGGGAGCAACTGGAGAAGTCGTTCGGAAGACCAAATCCAGCTCGCCTAATTGACCTCAAAACAATGAACCTATTTATAGAACTGACAGTATGTCAATGCTTGTAAGTTCAGCAACTTATTGAACTGCATAAAGCATAGCTTGAAACAGTGTCATTTGCTTTCAAAATTGACAGTCCTGTTTAAGGTTTTATTGACATCCAAGAATGAATATTAACTCTACTCACTAAGCCATCATCCAATGTGTATATGGTGGCTCCAACAAATCTGGAGCCGCTTTTTAAGTGCAAACCAACCCTGTTCAGCCCCAATTGAGCCGACATTTTACAGCTTTTTCCATATCCCTCAGTGGCTACATACATTAGTATTCGTGTCGGTGTCGTGTTTTGTACACACACAAAAAAAAAAAAAGTTGTGGAGCTATGACTACAATCAATGCCAATGGTTCCCTCCTCCATTCCTTCAGCTATGCACTTTTCTTTCTTGCTGTTGAATGTTTCCAGATTGGTTCTCTCCTATCAAGTAGAAACAGTTCTTAAAAAGGTCGACGACGAGATGTACAAACGCCAGTTTCCGACTTAATACTTGTGGAAGAATGGCAGGCAGCACCATACCTCTCCTCAAAAGTCAGGCTTCTGGAGTTGGGCGCAACCTGTTGGAGAGGTGAAACAAGGGGGGAGAGCTTTCTCTCTGCCTCTGTCTTCTGGTTTTACTTTCTCCTTCCCTTTTCACATATGCACCCTGGTAGAGGATTTGCATAGAAACTCTCTTCCAGCTTCGGAAACTCTCCTACCTCCCTATAGTACGGCCCTCCATCACGATCCCGGTGAAGCTTTTTCACTTTGGAACTGAACCTCTTCCACGACAATGTCCCCTCGTCTAGCTCGTCCACAAGTTTCACAAAGTTCATCCTGCAACAAACAATAAAGCAAAACATGACAAACAGCTACGGACGAAGCGCTTGTCTAACTGCAAAAATAACATTTTCGGAGGTCATGTTTTCTGGGGAGAGATTATTACTTGTCCGGGTTGATGGTCTTCTTGAAGTTCTCAAATCGACGGTGCCCCTGAACTGCCTTAGCCATATTTCCATCATATGTATACACAAACACATCACTCTGAAGTGCAACAACATAGTCTATACCAGCCAACATGTTCTGATGATTCTTGAAAGGTTCCAGCTCCTCTTCTGTAGCCAGAGATGAATGCGAGAAGATGTTCGGGAAGTCGTCCTCGAGATACTGCATGCTCCCATTCCCATAGGCCTCGCCAGCTACCAAGTAAATCCTAGTGCTGGAAGGAAAACCCAGTGCTCTCAACAGTAGAGAAGTCTCCCTAGGAGTCAATGGACAACCACCTTGCAACCTTCTTTCTGTCCCATTTATCTCTTTCTCCTTCCAATGATTCACTTCATAACGCATGATGCGTAGCTCCTCGTCCTCTTCTGCGCTTAAGCTGTGACTGCAGCCAGTAAATGCAAGCATATCCTTCTCATACCTGTAGCCAATGGAGGACATGACATGAGTCAACATAGCATGCACAATCACTAGAACCTGAAAATATTAGGAGCATGCTTGTTGCAGAAGCACCTTTTTTATAATACAACTAACGGTGTGTTTACTTTATGCAACCAGTATTTCAAAAGACGAGGCAGTAGGTAAAGGATTCTAGAAACTGAAACACAGGGTTTAGTAAAGCCACAACCAGAACCAACCTCAAATGAAGTGCAAGGTAAGGATTGCCATTTCCTCTCATTCTTGCCACCAGCAAGTTTCCAAGTTCTTCTATTGGTTTGGCATATTTCAATGCCCTATAATTCACACGACATCTTAGTTTTTGGATTGAATCCGGGATACCATTGTTTGCAATCCGAGAATCAGTGTGCGTAAAGTAGACTACTCTGTGCTGCTTCAGCAATGGCAAGACGTCGGTTTTATAATAACTAACCTGCACAAAGGGAACAGAATCCTCTTCGTTGAGAGAGTAGAAAAACTTTATCATTCATTATTTTAGGACTTCAAGAAACTAATAAAGGAACAAAAGTTATGGTGACCGACCTTAGACCAAGATATTGGTGTTTTCATAAAAGGCTCCACTCCTGAATAAGGTGCTGGTAAAGTCTCAACTATGTGTACTTCATCCTGTAGTGTCTCAATGAAATGTTGCCAGTTGAACAGATCCTTGAAGTCACTGAACCATATGATGCAAATAAGTTTGCTTCACTTAATACCGATAAAATAAAAAGAACATATTGCATCTGTATTGTATCAACTAAGAAAGGAAATGAATGACTATTGAGCCTTGCATTTACTACATACTCCAGTACTGACTACTGAGTTGAGAAAAGCTCTCGGGATACCATGATCCAGCATGTAGTCTTATTAAGATACAAATTCTTGCCCACAAGAAGTCAGGGCCCTTTGAGCAATATACCCATATAAGATGAAATAAGTTGGAGCTTGTGGCATCCATTATTCTATCTAACTAATAGGGAAATCTAGACCTTACAGAAATAGTGCAAGACCGTGAAGCTTAATATACAAACCTGTCATCGGCCCAATACGAGGTATGATCAAGAGAGGGAAGGACCAGTGTTGCCTTCATAATCTTAGCCACAGCAACCATGTCACAGATCTACACATTAAGAGCTTTCAGATGATCAGGATGTAGTCATAAAAATAAAGAAACAATCACGAAATAGAAACTAAGAAATAAAGGAGAATAAGCAGCCAAACCCCAAATCTCATCTGATTTAAGCCACCATTAGCATTTATGAGGATATAACCATTTGTTTTTGCATCTAGCTCTGTCAAGACATGAGACCAAGAATTAGAGGTAACGAACAACTGTAAACAGCAGGGGAGATAGACGAACTGAATATGGATGAGAGGAGAGGGATTACTAAATGTTCAAACTGTTCAGTAATCATACTTTTATGACTTCTTGGTAAGTCAATGCAGTGGGTGAAATTATCACTGTCAGGTCTTGCCCAGATACCTGACAACTAAACCATAAAAAATGAACTTCAGAATAGAACCCACATAACACATGAACCTCAAAACCCTTTTCACTCTGAGTAGCCACAGGGGCAAGGGAAGGTATGAAGCCACCATCTGAATGAAGAACAAGAGAATGGAACTCAACCCTTACCTCAACCTTGCCACCAATACTGTTAGCTAGTCCAGCGGTCACCATTTTTAGATTTCGATCCACATCCTTTTTCATTCAGGTGTAGGAATTACAGTAAGCAATCAGAAAACAAGTACCCAAAATGAAGGTCAGAGTAATGACTAATGAGACTGAAGACTTACTTCCACCTTGGCATCATCACCAAGAGATACGCCTGCAGTGACCGCCTTCAGATTTCTATCTCCATCGCCATTGTCTTTATACTCAAAAGTGTCAGAAATGTGGGAGCTCTCATCCAAGTCTACTTGGGTGACAGAATCAGGCAAATCCTATTGGAACAGCAGGGCAATGTTACTACAGAGGCCGAGGAAAATAACAATCAATTCATAGATATCCACAAGAGGAGCGCACATAGCTAAGCGAGGCAGCCAAAATCAAACAAAACCCAGGAGTGGAGGTTCATTGGAACTCCCGAATTGGCAAATTCAAAGCAGGAAATTCGAGCCAACAATCTAAAACGAGGCATATGGAATTTTACTCATTGTAGCAGTGCACCTACTTCCGTCTGTATCTGTCTCACTACTGCTAGATCTTAATGAAAGCAATAGGAATCCATTATCCAAAAAGCAAATCAACGGCGATACTTCATTCAACTGCACTGAGATTCACAATTAGCCTGAAGCCAGCAAGTAATCAAAAAAGCCTCCGGCAAGCAGCTCCGGCTGGAGAACTGGAGACTGGCACCATTTGCCAGAATGACATCAGCTCCGGGCGACGCATATGGCACTTAGCACAAAAAAGCTCGGCCACCGACATATGTAGGACAAAGCTCTAAATTCCAAACCACAAACTTCTGTGGCAATGGAAGCTCCAAAAGTAAATTGAAAAAAGAGAAGAGGGAGAGACAGAGATAGCGAGAAAGGGGCACACCACACCGACCTGATGGTAGGTGGAGCCGTCGAGCGCAGATCCAAACCAGCCGCCGGCGCAAATCTTAAACACGCCTAGAAACAAACAAACGCCGCAGAAGACAAAGAACATCCACTGCCCGAGCTTCTTCCGCTCCCGGAAGCCGAAATCCCGTACAACGGATCCGATTCCCCCGCCGCCCTTCTTACTACTCCTGGCGACACCGGCGTGTACTCTCTGGACGAGGTGCTGGCGATCGAAACCGTCCACGACGACGACTTCAGATCTAGGCGAGGTGATCTGGAGATCAATCTCGTCCCCCCCGGAGCCGAACCTGGGACTGGCCCCGGCGCTGTTGGCCGTGCTGTTGCTGGCCGTCTGAGCAGCGCTGCCACCGCCGCCGTTGCCCGCGGCGCCCGTCGCATTACCGGCGGCGGAGACAGCGGCTGCGGGGGCGGCGTTGGTGGTGGCGTTGGGGTTGCGCTTGAAGGAAGTGGCCCGGCGAGTCATGGAGCCCGTGAAGCGAGGGCTATTGACTCGCTGCGAGACGCCATCGCTGGTGTTGTGCTGATGGGCGTGGGAATGAGGGTGGTGTCCCATATATAAATGACAAATGAAATGGAAGATTTACAGAGCTGCTGTGCGGGAGCAGGAGAAGAAGACGAAGAGGAAGAGAAAGGGCAGAACAAAATTGGGAGCAATTAATATAGAGATGGGGGTACGTAGTCGCTGTATTTGTGGTTGTTTGTTATTTAATTAGGGGTGAAGGAGCCGGAGATGGCAATCGCGATTGAGGAATTGACGTGGTCGATGAGGAGGAGGAAGAAGACGACGGCGGCGGAGAGAGTGACGACGGCGATGAGATCGCCATTAATGATGAACTGTGGAGGAAGAAGAAGAAGGGGAAGAAGAGATTGAAAGGAATGGGAGGGCGGTAATTGAATCTGTTTGGGTGTGTGTTGTAGTGCGGGCGGTGGTCGGGAAACTGATTTTTGGACAGGAAGGAATTTATTTCGGGAAATTCTGTTTTTTGAAACAAAAAATATATTATTGATTTGTTGTCAAAAAAGGACGCAAAATTAAAATTAAAATAAAAAATCAGAAAGGGAAAGGGAGGGATTTGGCATTTGGCAGCAGCTGGCCAGTTGTGATTTGAGAATGTGGACTCTCTCTCTCTCTCTCTCTCTCTCTCTTGCTCTGCTTTTACACTGTCCAAATCCATTCCTCCTCTCAGGTCTCACAGCTCAATTATTATGTATTTTCCCCCTTTTCTACTATATTTGATTTTTTGGCCTTTAACCATAAAAAAAAATAAAATATTTGACCTTTTAATTAAATTTAAATTAATGCTGGGATTTTCAGACGGATTCGGGAGATACACACAAAGATTCACTTTTCCTTTACGCAATGTTGGTTAATTTGCGTTGTTTAACTTTGTTGAATTAGCACAATAGGTACTAAAATTATTTTAATCTTCAATTGTATAATAATAACGTACAAGAAAATATGTAAGCTTGCATGAAAATTCAAATTGGTTGCAAGTGCTTGTATTTTAAGCACTTCTGAAAATGTTAGCTAAGAATTGTTATAAGTACATGCAATGGCGGACCCAGGAATTTTATATAGGGGTGTCCTCTTTTAAAAAATAAAATAAATAAAAATAAAAAATAATTAATTCTTAAATAAGAAAATACCTGACACGTTCAAGTTAAAAAAGTCCACAATGTATTTTCATATTTAAAAATAATTATAGAATACACTTGATGTCTACACTACTCAAAATAATTGTCTTTGTATTACCTACTAGACAATCATTTACCAACTGATCACATATTCGATTTCTGAACTTGTTCTTGATATAACTCAAAGCTAAAAAGACTCTTTCAACACTTGTCGTACAACCATAAAATCAATACAAATTAAGGGTAGCTTGGAATTAGTTAATTGTTAGGTTTTGAAAATAATTAGAAATAACTAGGGAATGTCATTTTACTATTACACAGTGTTTAAAATCGAACAACAAATGAGTTGTAGCCTAATAAAATTATGTTTAATAATAATAATAGTGTCCTATGTTTGAATTATCCAAACTACCGGTTATAGTTCCATGCGCAAACTAAAAAATGAGAGTAGGATAATAATTTTTTCAAATTTCAAAGGTGTCCCCATCAATTATAATTTTTTTGTCCATACTTAAATTATCACCGGGGATTGGATAATCGTCATCCCAAACATTAGGGGTGTCCAGGGACACCCCCAATGTGCCTGGGTCCGCCACTGAGTACATGTTTACGAGTAAAATATATGGAATCATTTAAAAATGAGATTATAACTTGTTTGATTGATTAGAAACTTATATTTTAGTTTTAATCAGAAATACAGCCAAAATAAGAAAGGTCGTTAAGTTAATGAAAGGTCATTAAGTTAATATTACAATATACTGAACTAGATACAAATTGATCATCTTTTTTATACTAAAATTGACGATCTTTAAAGAGGAGGGAAAAGGGAACAAAGCGAAAGATCCAATACCTGAGGGTAAATCGCGCGAAACAAGTCCAATTGGCAGTTGTCATCCAGCTTATGCAATCCTAGGTCAATTTTATACGGCCTTTTTTGTTAGAGTAGACCGACTCACAAACCAACATTTCGTGCATAGGCGGCAGGAAGTCCTATAGGGTACTACTTACTAACCTATCAGCTAATAGGAATTTTAAATGCTCTCTAAGATTGGTTTGTCTGAACTTTGACGGTACAAATTGAATTTGCTACTTTAATGCTATGGTACAAAAAAAAATTATATTATATATTTTTATGTAGAAAAATTTTACGATACAAATTGAACATGTACATTTGACGTTATGTTATAAATTCAATGTTTCGTAGTATAGTAGAGGAGTTCCTCGGCTAAATGAACTTGTGTGTGGTCTCTATATGTCATGGGCTAAATGAACATGTACATTTGACGTTATGTTATAAATTCAAACACTCAATTGTATTTTTTTTAAAGTACTTTTTTAAAAGCTCTAGTTAGAAGCTGCTTCTGCAAAAACTACAACAGGGTCAAACTAGTCATTTACTTCCTTCTGGTTTTGGATCTAAGAGTGAGACGTAATATCCTTTCCTTGAAAAAAATCATGAGTCGTGCTCCTCTCAGTTTTCAGTGTTGGGAGAATTTTCTCCATGATTGTAAAACTGTGCCGGAAATCGTAAAAGTTAGCGACAAGTTATTTTATGTTGAAATTATGAGTTAGTCGTGGTTCAACGGTTCATTATCAATAAAAATCATCTACCAATTAATTTTTAAGATTAGAAATATTAGATTTTCCTCATATGCTCAATGATAGGTTACTATTTTTTCATATTAAAATTTGGTATCATTTGAATACTTCAAAGAGTGGTCTGGTATTTTAGAAGTAGATGCCCATTGGTGAAATTGTCAACAAAAACAATTGAGTACATAGTAGATGTGTGTGAATATATCATTGAAAAGAAGTGAAGGGGTGAATTGATCTTGCAATATTTTTACTAGAGGTAAATGTCTAGATGAAATTATTCAAATGTTTGATTAGAAAGATATATAGAAAAAGATTATGTAATATTAGATTATAAATATATTTATATGAAAAGATTACGTGAATTGAAGCTCACAATAATTTTAAAATGATATTAGTAAGATATATATATTCATATTTTATTGAGAAGCTGATTATTTGATCAACCGGAAATATCAATCGGAACATCTATTTAAACCAAGTGAGTTTAGTTTCTAAGTCCGAATTAAACAAATTTGTTATTTCGATGATGTTAAACAACATTCAAATACAATATAAACATGTTTCATTACAACTTTGGTGGGATTTTAAATAAAAAGAGACTGGTCCAGCGCCTGGTTCGAACCGGCAAGCTCCTTTTTTTTTCCTTTCATTTTGTCAAATGAACCGGCAAGCTTTTTAAATATTGCATTAATCAAAATTCGAATTTTTGGTCCCGGCGGGGCTCGAACCCGCGACCTTCGGCTCATAAGACCAACGCTCTAACCAACTGAGCTACGGGACCATTACTTGTTATTTTTTGTTTTTCCACAAAATATAAACTACTGTACATTACCAAATTGTTTATGGAACTTTCCAATCTAAATTACATCATAAAAATAATTAGAGTAAATATTAAAATAAAAGATTATAATGACGAATTCTTCGTATATTCGTGTAGGGATGACAAATTCGAGGTGACCAGCCAATTTACCTCACCTATTTCACTTGTTTTGGGGCGGACATGGGCAATCTCCTTCACCTAACCTGACTCGCCAGTCCGTTCCATTATCGACTCATTTTTTATAAATTATATGTAACTTTACTCAAATTATTTAGGATTTTGCTTTTATTACCTCAACTTCACGAAAAATTTAACTATGACAATCTCAATTTCTCGAATAATTTATCATGTTATAGTTTGTTTCTTTATCTTTTTAATTAAAACATGAATAGTTCTAATATTTTTCCTTTAAGTAACAAACTCATATGGGTCGACAAACCTGGACTCATGTCTCATAATAAATTATCCGACCTTGACCTAACCTCTCACAGCCAAAGGACGGGTATAGGTATCGAGATACCGGCCGACCTGACCTGCCCCATTTTCATTCCATTCCTACACTCGTGTCATTTGTTGGTTCTTTTTATGTAGATGTGTTGCTCATATATCTCTACCTCTTTTTGTAAATAAGGTTTTTCATCTGAAGTGATAGAATTGAGTAATGAAAGTAAATATCATTAGAAATTTCTTTTTTTCTTCTTCTTTTGTAATGAGAAATTCCAATATTGACTAGAACTGGTATCTTATTTAACAACTAATTGAAACCCCCACCGGGCCAAGTACACCTAACTCAATTTAACTCGAACCATTTCAATGTCTCGCACAACAAATGTAACATCGCGCAATGCGAACATCAGATGTCAACACGAAATCTCTTTTATGTCGAACCAGACAATTACACACCACTGCAACTTTCAACTTTGAGTTGAGTTGATCGTTGTAATATGTTGAGACTTCAACATCTCCCAATCTTTTCAAATGGATGGAAATTTAGGTTTAGTAAATGGGTGATGGGTCTTCTTGTAGGTGTCTTTGTCCTTGTCTCGACGAATAAGATGGATTAAGTCGTCATTAAAAGAGGAAACATAATGGCCAACTAGCTAGGAAGGAAGTCCACAAAAAGTATAGTCGACACCTAATTTATGCTGTAGGAACTAATGCCTTTGTACTGTTGCCGGCTGCCCCAACGAGTAGAAGCTTTTTGTTTAGCAACTGCTCTTTTTCCCCAGCTTTATGTAGTAGTATAGGTAATTGGGGCAGAGATAGAAAAAAATACTCATAATTAGTTAATTACTCGTACTAATCCGATATCGTGCAGGGTAAAACATGAACTAAATAAAATATCGAATAGTATGGATAAAATCCGAAGCAGAACATCATGGGTAATAGTGCAGGTATAGTTTTATCAATATCCAATCCGAACCATACATGCATATACAATATTTCATATAAATATTCATTTTTTTTAATTTAACATATTTGGTGTTCTAGTGTATTCGGAGCATCTCATAAACTAGTATTCCTTTTTTTTTTCTCAACAGTTTTCACTTATGTAACTTTAATATAATTTTGATTAGTAATACAATAGTTAAAAAGATAAAAGTAAATTTTTATATATAGATATCCACGAATACCCGATATCCGTTAGGAATATAAATTCATTTATTATGAGAATCCTACATAATAATGAATATAAATAAACGCCGAACTAATTATATAGGATAATACATACTCGGATCCCACTCGTTTTCATCCGAAGTTGGGGAAAGGAAAATGGCGAGAAGAAAATGGTTGGGAAAACGATGGATGGTGTTGTGGGAATGGTCCAAATTGGAGGACAACAAGGACCCAAACCTTGCACCTCTCAGTTCTCACTCAAGTCTTTCTCTTCCCCGCGTCGCTTTATTGACTTCGACAATTGTTTTCCAATCCAACCAAATCATTCCAATTAAGTTAAACCAAAGGAGACAAAACTTT